GTGATAAGTGCAGAGAAGAAAAATAAATCAGAGAAAGGCATGGAGGTACAATTTTACACAAAGTAGGGAGAGAAGCCTTCATGAAGATATGTGAGTGAAGACTGAATGAAGTGAGGAAGCAAGCCATGTAATGAAGAGGAAGAGCTGATCCAGAGGAAGCAGCAAGTGCAAAGGCTCTGGGGTGACAGCCTGTCTGGCATGTTTGAGGACCATCAAGGAAGCCATTATGGTTGTTGTGGAGACATTAAGAGGAAGGTAGAAGATGAGACCCAAGAGGTAATGAGAGATCAAGAACTTTGGCTTTTGCTGTGAGGTAAAGAGCCATTCGAAGTTCTTGAGCAAAGAATGCGATCTGACCTTCATTTTTGCAGGATCATTCTAGCTGCTAGGTTGAAAAGAGCAGTGGTAACAGCAGGGCAAGGCCTAGTTAGAGACTATTACGCTGAGCCAGACTAGAGATGATGGTAACTTGGTGGCAGAGGTGGAGGTAGTGAGCAATGGTTATAATCTGGGTATAACTGGAATGTACAGCCTACAGAATTTGCTGATGAAATACTTCGGGGGAATGAAAAAGAGTGGAGTTAAAGGCTGAGACTATTGCCCTGACTAACTAGAAGAATGATGTTTCCGTTTACTAAGGTGGTGAAAATTGAGAGAAGAGCAGATTATTTTTGATGTTTTCTCACTTGTAAATCACAGCACCCACATTGAGCATATAAAGCACTTCTTAGTGTTAAACATAGCTATCATAAAGAGCACATGGAGGATTTCTTAGCATTTTAAGAGATAACTCACTAGCTTTTGAAATTTTTTTTTTTTCTTTTAAAAGATGAGCGGTAAGGGGATCTTAACCCTTGACTTGGTGTTGTCAGCACCACGCTCATCCAGTGAGCTAACCGGCCATCCCTATATGGGATCCGAACCTGCGGCCTTGGTGTTATCAAGCACTGCACTCTCCCGAGTGAGCCACAGGCTGGCCCTGAAATTCTTACTTTGATACAAAATAAAGAAATTTTACATCTTTTTGCGGGGGGTGGGGGGGTAGCTGGCCAGTACAGGGATCGAACCCTGGGCCTTGGTGTGATTAGCACCATGCTCTAACCAAAAATTTTACATCTGGACCCAGTACACACATGTGTGCATATACACACACACACACACACACACATTCACACATATCACTGAAACAAAAAATTCATGAAACAATCATCTTTATTATAATGTGTGCTGTACTATGATGTTTTGTTTTGAATTCTGGAGTTACACACCAAATAGATTTTACAACCCCATTTTGGGAAATACTCAACCCTTTCAGTGTTCAGATGAGGAAGCAGAGACTCAGAGAGTGATATCAAAAGTCCTCCAGGGGCTGGCCCGTGGCTCACTTTGGAGTGTGTGGTGCTGATAACGCCAAGGCCAAAGGTTCAGATCCCTATATAGGGATGGCCAGTTAGCTCAGTTGGGAGAGCGTGGTGCTGACAACACCAAGTCAATGGTTAAAATCCCCTTACCGGTCATTTCTTTAAAAAAAAAAGTCCCCCAAAGTTAGTAACAATGCTGGACTAGAACCCAGGTCACCTGACTCCTGGTTCAAGGCTTTGCAGAACAAAACGAGGCTAGATTCTCCTGTCCAGTACTTCCAATATTTTCACTTTCTTTTAAAAATATATATCAGGGCCGGCCCGTGGCTCACTCGGGAGAGTGCGGTGCTGATAACACCAACGCCACGGGTTCGGATCCCATATAGGGATGGCCGGTTGGCTCACTGGCTGAGCGTGGTGCTGACAACACCAAGCTAAGGGTTGAGATCCCCTTACCGGTCATCTTTTAAAAAAATAAATAAATAAATAAAAATATATATCAAAACAGAATTTCCTGAATAATAGCTTGAATAGTTTTCTTAATGTGCCCTACCTACTTGCCTTATTTCCTAATCTTAAACTTTTATAAACACAAATATACCATAACATTTTAATTAAAATATTAAATTATTTATATTCAACATGCATAATACAAATACACTTAAAATTAAAGTTACTCATGGATTATTCAAAGGCAAATTTTAGTAATAAAATTAATCAAATTTTAATTCATGGTGAAGCTCATGAGGTTGTGTGCATACTGCACGTATATAGAAGTTCAAGTAAATACAGAATTCTGGTTAACATAGTTCATTTCAACTCAATGCACATTTATAGAACATTTCCTATGTGCTAGTTATGTGTGTGCTGAGAAATTAATCAATTAATAAGTCCCTCTGGCCTTAAGGAATTTACAGTCTAGCAGGTTATAGTCAAACCAATAGCCATAATTCAATATGAGATACATTATAAAAGATATAATAGATATTATAGAAGTACAGAGTACTCTTTGCTTAACTGCTGTAAGAACACAGATGAGGAAGAAATTGACTCTCCTCGGGGATATAGATGGTTCAGAAAAACTACAAAGGGGAGGCAATATTTGTTCTGGGCCTTGAAACATGAATAGAAATATGCTGACCAGATCAAGAGTGAAAGGGGCTTAAGGAGAGGAGGGAACAGAATGAAAAAAAAGAAAAAGTATAGTGTGAACAGCATGTCACGTAGAGGAATCGCCTGACTAGATCGTGGACTCATTGCGACTGGTAGTAATGGCATGATTAGGTACTTAGACTTTATCCTAGAGCAAATGCAGAGCCATGAAAGGTGTTTATAATAAACTGGAAGCAATGTAGAAACTAAATGGGACACTATTATGGGTTGAATTGTGTCCCCTCGAAAAGCTATGTTGAAGTACTAACCCCTAATACCTCAGAATGTGACCTTTATTTGGAAACAGATGTAGTCAAGTTAGGATGAGGTCATTAGGGTGGGCCCTAATCCAGGCAGGGGATTATACACATCCTGGAAGGAGACACATCTTTCTCCAAAACAAGAAAGGAAGAAATGACAGCAGAAATTTGGGTGTGTGCAAGAAAAAAAGTGGAATTGTTGAAAATTTTATTTTGGCACACATACAGTTTAAAACTGTTTGACCTTTTAAAGATAAATCTTGAATTCACCATTATTCAATTTGAGGAAAGGCACGAGAAAGTAGTAAGATCTAACCAGAATTTAAGTTCTGCTGTGTTTACTTAGATCATTGCCCAGACACAAGCTAAGCAGAGACCACCTGTAGGTTTTAAAGCTTTTATGAGCATCTCAACGTTTCACTTTTTTTTCCTCTCCAACATTCCCCGGGCTGGAGATCCCCAGAGAGTATGGAGATGATACTCGGCGTTTTTCCTCAATCTTCTGAAGTACTGAAAGCGGTGAAGAAGAGGTTCGCGGCAGCAGCGATGGCCAGAGCCCGTGGTAGAAGGATACAGATCTAGTTTTGTAAATTTATTTCGAAACCGTTCTCAACTCCTTCACCTCAGAACGCCTCAAAAGTGCCGCTCTGGGAGGCTAGGAAGCAGGAAGCTGCCAACGAAGATCTTCAGAACTGGGAAGTAAAAACACGGATCAAACAAGCAGCAACAGCAGTGACGCCAGTTATGGCCTCCGAGACTTCCGAAATCAGAGCCCTGATCTGCCCAGCCCGCCCTGTCGCCTGTAAGAAACGACTCTCACTTTTCATTGGCTGACCCGCCCGAAGTTGGGACCTTGCTTCATTTTCATTGGTTGTTGCTGCCGTCACGTCCTTTCTCCACCCGCCCCCTTTCCCGTCAGGGCCCAGTGAGCTTTGGGGGACAGTGATTTACAGCGGCCGGGGGCGGGAGTTAGCGCGCGGCCGGCCGGTTTCCCCCTCCCTCCGTGCCGCGGCACCCGCC